CGGAGCCCTCCATTTTTACATTTTAATGATTAGAATAATTTGTTTTTTCTGAGGATGTTTTCCTACTGATTGTGTGGAAAATAAGGTCAAACCTGGGCTCCCTAGCTCCCTGCCTTTTTACTACTTGAATGCATCACAGAGGCAGATAAGTAGACAAAAAGAGAATCAGCGACACAAAGTGAAGATCCTTAAATGTTTTGTTGAGAGAGCTTGATAAAGTTGGAGAGCCCCAAACAGAAAAAAAAAAAGGATGAAAGAGGAGGCCAAGGGTCTGACCAAATCTGCATTGACGCAAAGGGACAGGCATAAAAAAAATAGGTAGAGATGTAGAGAGTAGGGAGAAGGAGAAGCTGTAAAGAGAGAGAGGAGGCCCCGTCCGCATCCTAAGAAGATTAGACAAACAGGAGCGAGGGAACAGGCAGAGACAAAAAGATGGAAGCTGATTTTAAAGGTAAATATCCCGCAGGAAAGCTTTAAAAGAACAATCAAATTAAATGCTGAAGCTAACAGCACGCCTCCATTCCTTTCTCCTCAAAGCATCCTTGGTGTCAGACTCGGTTAGCGTCCTCCCAACATGATTAGGGAGTGACATGACCAGCCATCAGCTAGCGCTCTGGAATCAGCTGTGCGTGAGTCAGCCGCCTGCTGCTTCATCCCCCTGCGGAGGGAAAGGTTTGGGGTCAGTATGACAAAGAAACTGAACTCAAACAAGTGCTGATTCACTTCACCTGTCAGCGCAGATGCTGCTAATACTGTTTTGTTTTGTTGTCTTTGATGGGTTGAAGGTGTGGAGTCCAGAGGGGTTTGAGGGGGTGGTGTTTTGCATGTAATGAAGTAGCGTGCAGGAAGTCGTGTGTTTCCACTCGAGCTGCTGCGCAAAGGTGCCGAGCTACGAAGCTGATCGCTGAGAAAGTTCAAAACATGCACTGTTCACTGGCATAGTGTCTGTCCCTAACACGCTTTCCTCCACACCATGCATGTGTGTTTATTCATTTTCTCTCTTTTCTTCTTTCTCTCAGACTGTCTGTGTCACTCCTCTCTCTGTGAGTTCATACCAGGCCTCTGTTCTTGGCTCTTGCTTTGCTAAAACACAACCTCAGGGCAGGTTCTCTAGTTGCACCACGGGAGTTCTACACACACACAGACATGCATAAGCACACACACACATGCACATCGGTTTACACACACACACACACAGGCCTGATTGATTTTTCATTGCCTGTTGAGGCATAATGTGTCCCAAAGTGTTAGCGTTTGTTTTTGCTGGGAGGGCAAAACTGTCCATCGTTTGCTCTGTCGCAACTGGGAATGAATGAAAAGCTGAGATAGAAGGAAAAGGGAGGAGAGGTGACACCTGGGAAATTGAAATGGTATTGAGGAGGAAGAGTTGCAGAAAAGAAAAAAGCACTAACCCAAGGGGCCAAGGCCCTTATTTCATAGAAGGGGGTTGTGGTTAGATAAGGAAACTAAGAGGAGAAGGCAGAGACTTAATAAAACTTTTTTTTCCACTCATCATTGTGATATTATTTCTCCCCATTTCACTGCGTTACCCCCAGAGAGCAGTGCTAAAGCGATAGCAGACACAGCGGAGAGCAGGAAGGAGAGACATACAGATTAATGGAGAGTATGATGTCTCTGTGTGTGGGTGTGCGGATGTGTGCAGGAGAGAGACAGTGAAAAAATGAATAACAAAGATGTTTGCGACCACATAATCCCTGGATGAAAGGAAATTTTGAGTGTGTGTGTGTGTGTGTGTGCGCGCGCGCGTGTGTGTGTGCGCGCGTGTGTGTGTGTGCGCGTATGTGTGTGTATTGCACAGACATCGACAGTTAAGATTTTCATAAAAGTGCACTTAAGATTTCTTCAGAAGATCCTTGAGCTGCACAAAATCACTTCAAATAACTTTAGTTTTCATTTTGTCCTTATGAATTCAGTTGAGTTCGAAATGAAGTGTGTTTGGCAGGTTCAGCGAGAGGTCACCCACTGAAAAAGAATGTCACATAACTGACAATGAACTCTCTCTGCAATATTATTATTATATCATTTCAGTGGGCAAGTCCTTTAATATTTGACAATTGCTTTAAGTATTTCATCTAATTTTTATTTTGAAAGGAATTTAGAAAAAAAATATCCATGCATGCCACTTAAAGGTTCTATACATTCATACATCCAGAAAAACCTTGTTATCAATGACATTGCTAAGGGAACCACAGTCAGGGCCCTGTTGCTCATGTGTGCTCGCTCTCCGTCAGCAGGCACACAAGCGAGCATCCTGGGCATCAGCCAAAACAGTGATGTGATGGTCAGACTGGCAAAGAAACTCAGCCCTGTGTGGCGCTTGGATAGTGCCAATATAAAGATTACCAGGAGAAAAAGGAGGAGCAGTCAGGCCATTTGGAGTTTTGACTATATCTGAGTCTCCAGCACTGGCACAGCGCTAAAATGAAGTGTGGAGATAGGCCTGCCTATACAAGACTATAATTTCACTGACTGACTAACTTGTTTCTTTGAAAATAGGATTTATAAAGTGTAATATCGTTATCAGCTGATGGTAACCTGAGTTTTCCACCAATGTTGGTCACGTTCCTGTTTGGCCAGATGAGTTTTAATAGATAAAAATTTTTTTTTTTTTTTTTTTTTTTTTGTGCTCAGAGCCAGTTGATTGTTGAAGTAAGTGGACTCTGTTTCTGACCTGATGTTAGTTAGTGTTGCATACTATCAGCGCTGTAGTGGCGCGGAAGAGCGGCACTTGGTATCGCCCATAAGCACCACATTCTTGGGATCTTCCCGCGTCCCTGGCATAGAAATCAGTCCACTGGCTGTTACAGGAAACAGAGAAAGCCCGGGAAGGTCTCATTGTTTAAATTACATTACAATCGTTCACACCTTTACATATAGTACCTTTAAACTATTTGTATTTTTAAGCAAAAATATCACAATCGTCTTCAATAGTGTCCTTTTTCCACTGACGAGATACCAGTCTTTTTTTTTATTGATGAACAAAGTGAAATCAAAAAATGCTGAACGCCTTAAGGATTTTGCATGTTTCAAACTTTATGTTTGTTGTAAAACCTTCTTCTGTTCTTTTTTTAATTTAATTCTAATCTTTTAGGATGAACAGGTTTTTTTAAATCAAACATTGTTAAATATGCGTGTTAAACAAAGGCTTAAGCTTTCATTGCCACTGTTTTGAATTTGTTAATATTTTTTCTGTGGTGCTGTACCTTTCATCATTTCAAATAAATAGGAAAGTTGTCCTGTCTCTTGGCACACTAAGGCTTTTGCATCTCTGAGCTGAGCCTGGTTTTGTGACTCATATGGTCATATAGCAGAAATATGTTGAATGGAATAAACTAATTCTAATCTTCATTTTCATTGATAAATTGCTCACTGGCAATGTTGAAGCTGTGTGACCTCTTAGCTCCCATGATGTGTATCTGCAGCTATGAATGAGTCAGTTACTTGTATGCATCGACTGATATTTATGATGTGAATCTGTCTCTTTCTATACTTATTCATAGTTTGGTTCCGAGCCAAATATTCACAATATTTTGAACATAGTGATGATTGTACACACTGTATTTTCAATGCAGTCTGAGATAGACGTTATGTTTTTTCCATTTTAAAATTCAGAATTGCTGCAAAACAAAATCCTGGGGTTGTGTTGAGACAAACCTGTCCTAAAGCTTAAAAAAATCTTCTAATATAGGCTATCCCTAAAACAATCACATTGCATATTAAAATGTCTAAAATAATTGGTAGCCTAATGATTGATAATTGACAATTATTGTAAGATTAAAACAACGATGATAGAGAAGTACTGATTAATGAACATGTGTTTTAAATTCATTATGGGGTTCACAGTGGGAACATTGTTCTGAAAATGAACACTTCATCTCCACCTGTTTAAAATCACGGCTGTATTGGAGCCGTTAAACCATCTTTCAAGTTAATTAATTCGGTACTGGGACATTATATTCATGCTAGCAGCGCTGTATCCTGTTAACACCGTCAACGCACCACCCACCCGCGATATGCGGGCGTTTAAACAAACGCATCCCCAGCTCTGACGCTAATAGACAGACAATTAACTGCTGTCTCCACGAGGCCCTGGTTAGTACCAGAATTTAGAGGACATAAATGACACTGTGAAACATTCTGCGTTCAATTATAATTTGTGCAGTAAATATAAAGACCGCGAGGTAAATAGCTATTTATCTGTGAGTGAGTTTAAAGGTATTTTACAGTGTAGTCCGTCCATTTTAGCCGCGTCTTTACTGTAACGTTAGCTTGAATGTAAACCAGTACCCCGACGACACTACGACAGGCAGCTGTTCGTAAACAATTGTTATAAGTAACACAGTTCAAGTTTAAGTACTGCGTCATGCACCGTCACGTTTTAAAATATGCCTTTTTGTATTTCCAGAGTGAAAGGATGGGGAAACCGAAGACAAGTGAAGCTGAGGGAGAAACGCAGGTGATAGGAGCGGTGACAGAAACATCTCCACTCCTCAATTGATTCAAGATTTATAGAAGATAAAGGAGGAAAAGAGACAGAAACTGATTCAGTGCCGACACAGGAGCCAGGTGATGGAGAGACTTGTTGAGACTGAAAAGTTTAACTAAAGTAATTAAAAAGAAAGATTGGAACCTGCCATGGAATGACTGTCAGATTCTCTTTTTAAATGGTTGTATACATAATTTCAAAACGCTACAGTAAAATTGACAGATAAGTACATAAAATTAGATTTCCTCTCTATAAGTTCAATTGCTTTTGGTTAACAGTCAGTTTTGATTCAGTATTATTCCAAAAATTAATATAGTATAAGCCAAACAGATTGTGTTTGATTAAAGCCAGACATGTCCATCAACCCATTTGTCCAGCCCTCAGTTAAGGTAGTGTGTACCCACTGCATCCCTGTTTGAAACATATACAGTATGTGTATGGCTATGTATTTCTCCTCAGCTGAATTGCTCCTTAACCCCAATCCTGTTTATACGTGGTTCGAGAGGATTAGCATCATGGTGATCCTGCTCAACTGTGTGACACTGGGCATGTACCAGCCCTGTGAGAACATCGACTGTACCTCGGACCGCTGCCAGATACTGCAGGTAAGGCAACCCTGTGTGTGTGTGTGTGTACGTGCGTGCGTGCGTGTGTGCAGCAACAACATGTCAGTGTGCTGATGAAGAGATAGGACAAAACGATCAATTATTTGACACAAACTCAGCACGGCTCACCACTCTTCTTGTCACTGCTCCTCAAACTGTGATGCAGGCACACTGCAGCTAGAATATTTCCCTCCTGGAAGGTTTATATTTTCTCCTGCTCTCTGAATGCGGAATTGGGACTTAGTTTGTTTTAATATAGTCTTGTGCAGCCGCATGTGATTTTCCCACTTCATGATGAGAATACACTTGACAAGTGCCAGCAGTTGAAAACCGTGGTCGTGGATGGCCACCAATGCTACAGCCAAAAAAGCTTCACCCACAGGCTTTTATTCTAATTTTGCTGCAATTTGTTATTTAAATCGCTGTCTTGGCTATTTCTTCATGACGTGTTAGATCTGTGTAGGAATGTCAAAACTGGTTTACCATTTCATTGTTCCTTTACCACATCTCTCCCCAGACACTTACCTCTATACTGTATCTGCACAGCTGGCCCCATGAGACTACTCTAATGTGATTATTCTCTAAATTATCAAGGCTTTCACATAACAGGAAACAGTGCACCTCATTCTCAAGGTGACTTGTCATGAAGCAAAGTCTTTGTAGATTCATGTTTTCATCTGCTTGTTTTATCATTACTTGTGGATTTGATTGATCCTGTAACAGGTCATCAGTGATAAAAGGTGTTAGTAACAAGTTGAGCTCTCTTCTTCTAATCTATACCTTTTATGTTAGAGTAGATATTATTGTGTTGTATTTTTTTGCCAAATTGCTAATGTTTTCCTTTTGTTTCTGTTTGTAAGCCGTGTTGGGCTGATGTGGGTTATGTGTTGCTGACTGGGTGATTTGCCAACTGGCTGAGGACACGGTGTGTACCTCTGGGATTGTAATTGCTTTTCATTGAAGTAAATTTGGCAGGCTCCATTCCAGGTGTGACAAGAACGACCTAATTCTGCCTCACATGCTTTTTGTTGGCAATTTCTAATGTCCATTGACATTGAAAATCCGTCTGCAGTTACCTGCATGAGAAGTTTCTTTGGCCAGTTTTTCTCATATGCTGTTGCTGTGTAAACTGATTGTACTGCCATATCTCACTTTCCTACAGCACATTAGGACGGATTATAATATCAAATAAAGCCCCCCAGAGCAAACTATGATAGGTTTATTTATCTCAGATTTTCTCTTTATTGTGCAGATATTTCAAATATGCATTCACTACTGTTTTAAAACTGTGCAACATTGTCTTTCTGCCTCACTGTCTACCTCATCCGACCTTCCTTTCCAGCACCATCTTCCTGCTCCCTATGTTCCCATTCTCCAGTCCTACACACTCGCTCTCTCTCCCTTCCTCCACCCTTTGTCTCTCTAACAAGCACATTGTCTCCCCAGGTAGTGTGAGGGGTCCTGTTCTGGTGGTTGCTAATGGTAACAGGAGGGATTTTGCTGACAGGGCTTAGATAGTTAGAGTGGCCCTCACATGCCTCTCTGGCCCTCTTTGAAATACAGTATCCCCACCTCACTTCCTGGAGGAAAGAGACGGAGTAATAACCGCAAACAATGTATACATCACCAAAGAATCAGTTCAGATGGCTGTTAAGGAACCTTGCAGGAGTTAAATTGGGATTTAGAGCCCTGGACCTCAGGGATTGAAAGCCTCAGTTAGGGTAAGGGGGCAGGGAACTTGGGTCCATGTGGTATACCATGATGTGCTACACCTTCGTCAATAATTTAAAATACAATCAAACTTATACTTACAGCCAGAAGCTGCGGTTCAGGATGGAAATTGTACCTAAGGAAGTGGAGGTCCTCTCTAGTCGGCCCCGATTTAACTCCTGTCTGTATTTGCATACTCATTTCTCGCAAATGGAAAGTTGTTATTCTACCTGAAGTCGAATCGGGTGGGACAGGACTTATTATACCTTTTTAAATCAGGACCTGTTCAAGCTTCTTAATCGAGCTTCAAATTTTCAGAAAACTCACTGACACTTTGTAGAAAGACTGTGTCAAGTATGCCTTTTCCTGTCCTATTTGTCTTTCAGTGTGAAATGAATATTTGTCCTCATGGTGCCACTCATTCTACAGGTAGAGGAAGAGACACATGCATTATTTTATTTTAAACGGTTCCATTACAATCCTGATGACCTACTTACCACGTCCTCTCCTCCTGCCAAATAAGCGGCACAGTGACAGCATATGAAGTAGTTTCCACCCCAACTCCTATTTCAAATCATGAAAGGGCCCATCACAAGACAGCCTCAACCTCTTTACAAATCATGTTGACGATGAAACCTGATAGGCTGACTGAAGAGCAAGCTGGCGGTGGTGACAAATAACAATGATGAATTCATTCCCCTTTCACTCAGCGCAGAGCGCAACAGGAATCCGACTGGTGCAGCCAATGTCGGATTACATGTGAAGCGTGCAGCCTGCATTATTTATCAAAACATCATTTAAACAGCATGTGAGACTGATCTTCTCATCGTTTCCCATTGCCTGCTGCCAGCTCTGTATGCGGGCTGTGTGTGAGCTGATGCTTGTGTTAGGTTTTGCGTGTGTGTGTGTCTGTGTGAGTGAATGAGCAGGGATGGAGCACACATGTCTGCTTCTAATGCATTACAACACAGAGTCATGCCCACATCTATACACACACACACTAACATAAGAGCAAAAACACAAAGCACAGTTTTATACATTTACAGTCTTTTCACACACACACACACACACAAGTGCACAGATTTGGCCTCTGCTGCTAGAGATTTGATCCCTATAAATAACAAACAGTATGGACCACCCATCTCTTGACTCTTGCCATTTCTGTCCTGAAGAAAAATAAGTGCTACTTCCACAAAATTTCACACCCCATTGATCTCATTGAATGTGGTCTATAAATGAAAACAGTATCCTATAATTGTTCATCAGTGCTCTTCTCCAGTTGGCGTTTATTACTCCTGGTCGCCCAAATGCACCACATATCAGTGTTTTCTAGCCTGCTGTGGGTTACTGTTGAGTCTCTAGTTTGACATTTAACTTTAGCTTGAAACCTGAAAAAAGGTAATAACCTTAAAACACTTGTGGATAATGTTTTTCCCATTGCAGCATATGATTTGTTGAGTGCACTAACTCTATTCTCAGTGCATACTTACTGTATTTTACCAGCCTAGAGCGGCGTTCAGCTGGAGAGTCCTTGTGATCTTTGAAAATCTTATTTTTATCTGTGAATTGGGTTGCTTGAACCTGTCTGTTATATTTCAATACATTAACATGTTTGCCTTATATTTTATTGTTGCCTTGAGACTTTAACTGGGTTTAAACTTCCACCACATCTATAGATGTTTGAAAACTAATTTAGATGGGTGAACATCCTTGCATTTAAGGTCATTTTTCATATTTGTTCCACAAATTGACGATTTATAAAGCTTTGAGATTTAACAGTATACAGTATATAGCACTGTGTGCACTGCTGGTTGGGGATGGATGCCAGTTTTGGAGCAAACAAAAATCCTTGTCATCATCAAAAAGCCAAATTATGACCAATTACTTATTAACAGCAGCAATGGCTTCATTTAAATTTCCAGGCCTTGGAAATCTCTGTGTCAAGAGGTAGCAGATTGAGTTATATGTGGTAGGAATATGTAACAAGGCAGCAAACACAGTCATACAGCCTAGGGCATATCACTGGGAAAGAGTTTTGTTCCGAAAATACAATGGGAGGTTTAGCTAGTGATCTGAACATAATAACGCAAGCAGGACATGGCAGAGATTTGGGCTTATATGTCTCTCTCTCCATTTATCTCTCACTGTCTCGTCTCTCTCCATCTTTTGTTTTCTCGGAGGTTTGACCTGGATCTCTCTTACTTTCTTTTCTCCTGTTCACGTCTTACTTCCCCTCTGATTCAAGTAAAGCATTGTGGGTTGGTTCACATGGAGCACCATGTATGTTGTGTGGTGTTAAATTAGCAAAGTTACATGTACGCAGTGAACACTGTGTTGTTTTAAAGCTACTCATATCACTGTTCACAGCAAACCTGACGAGTCGGGATGAGTCTGGTGTTGAGTGTTAACTTGCCACATTTAAAAAGTTGAAAACTTGCCTTTGAAATATGGAAAATAGGTCATGGATTGTTTTGAGGTGTAGATACACGTTTTTATAATACATTCATGGTCGGAATCAAAAAGTAGCTTCAGACTCCAGACACGTGTTCTTCAGGCCACATGTGCCATTTTGTTTTGCTGTTTCTCATTGTGTGTGTACTGTGGTGCCTTCAAATAAAATATTTGAAGGCACCACAGTAACAACGAAAGAGTGTTTCTTTTTTTTTTTTTTATCATGGCAACTTGTCCTCACCAGAGATGACAAGTGCTCTTTGTTCACAAAGAAACTGATTTGGAAGAAAAATGAAGATGGAGAGCTCTGACAACATCTTTAACCTACTAATATCATGAACATGCGAGATAGAGCAGATGTCTGGCTCAAGTCTTTCAAGCAGAATATATAAAATGCATCTTCTACCTTCTTTAACTCACTTTCTTCCAACTTCACCTCTCTCTGTCTTCCTGTAGGCCTTTGATGCATTCATCTACATCTTCTTTGCATTGGAGATGGTGGTAAAGATGGTGGCTCTTGGGATCTTTGGCCGACGCTGTTACCTGGGAGACACCTGGAACAGGCTGGACTTCTTCATCGTCATGGCTGGGTAAGCAACTTTTATCAGTGTCGGTATTAATCTTACATCTGGTTGACAAGTGTCTATGTCACGTGGTTTAGGGAAGATTCTTTAAATCCAAGCATAAAATAACTCAGCATCTTTATGTTGTCATAAACATCAAGACAATGACAATAAATGAAATTAAAGTTCATGACTGAATTAGTTCACTTTTACTTAAAATCTGAATTCTGTAATATAATGTCTATATTGAGGGTTTAGTAATTATGAAACTTGTCTATAATGACAAGATTTTGTTTCCCTGGTCTGATTGTAGCAATCTGACACTCTTCTGCTTACAGTATATCTATAACTATTTGTGCATTGGTTTTTCTCAGCTCTAAGAAGATTAATAACACTGTCAAGTGCTGTTAAGTGCAGCATGATTTTCATTCATTCCAGACATTTTAATATTTTCTTTTGGCGAGTCTGGGTCGTGCTGATGATGCAGGATGACAGGTCACCAAAACTCTCCAATGTATGAGTAACCTGTCAGTCCATGTGACTTGTTTACAACATGTTTCATGTTTGTAGTAGATGAGTGTGAACACTAAACAGACTAGAGGTAAAACGCTGGGGGAAGTTAACTACAGATGTGAATAACACATTGTCATTCACTTCCATTCTTCATCCACTAATTTGTATGTCAGTAAAGTTCATATAGTACAAATCCTTTGCTGTTCATACGGTTGTTTATTAAATAAAAGTAATTCAGGAAGCTATGTTACGATAATTGTGAATCTTTGCCAAAATTATAAATTTGCTCAATAAATACTTAGAGGCAAATTTTGCATATTTTGCTAAAGTGGAACTGCTTTCAAAACTGGGTGTCTGTGCCTGTGTGGCCTTTGTGCAAAGGTCAAACCTTGAAGATGTGAAGATGAAAATATGCTATAATTTCTAGAGTCCCTTCGCACTAATAAACAGCAGAATATTGCTGAACACTCAAATCCAGGGAGTAGATGGCACAAATGCTGGTTTGGTGCTTTGGATTTGCACCTATGATATGATTGGAAGTAGGTAGGCATACAGGGGAAAAAAAGAAAGAAATGAAGGAACAAAAGACGGAAACAGGAAATTCAAAAGCAAGTTTGTTTTTGAGACACCCACTACTTAAAACATTTGTCCCAACACATGCCCACAAAAGCTTACACATCTACGGTCATATGTTTTGTTGTGTAAGTTGATCTTGTTCCTGCAAAGTGTCCGTCACATGTGCTGTTACTGTGGAAAACACATACACACACACAAACACACACTAGATGGATGCATGTGCACAAAACAAAAGCAAACACACCTGCTTGAACACCTGCTGCGAACAAAGTGAAATGAGAGGCTCAGACGTGGGTGATAAAGTGCGTGCTTGCGTGCGTGCGTGCGTGCGTGCGTGCGTGCGTGCGTGCGAGAGAGATGGATAGGGAGAGTGGCTGGCATAATAGCAGACAAGAAAGGTAGAGCAACAGACTTACCAGAGTCAGTGGTGGGACATTTGTCTTCATTTGAGCTGAAGCAGTTTATACCCTGTGGGTGCTCATAGTTTGTGTGTGTGAGTGTGTTTGTGGCACAGAGTAACACAGAGATTACAGTCTGTCAGCTTATGCATTTAGAGTTTGTTTAATCTGTGTATACGCGCGTCTGTGTTTGTATATGCATTTGTGTGAACGCCTCGGTCTTCGTTTTTCTCCCTGCAGCATCCATTAGATTAGCGTCGAGGCTAATTGCCGAGGGCAGTGCCAGCCTTGCCAGGCCAAATCACAGCCGACAGTCTGCTATAAGCTCCATGTCTCTTACCCATGGGCACCACCTTGCTCTCTCACCCTCCTCCTCCCTCCCTCTCTATTTCTTTCTTTTTTCACATGCTCGAATGAGCAGGCTGTGAAGGGGGCTTCATTCCTCTGCTCCATAACCCTGCCACACATAAAGTGCCTCCTGGAGTCTGTTTTACTTTATATGCTGTATATTTTAGCCTAATTCACTGGAACTGAGGCTTATCTTCCTTGCCTTTCTGGTATCTGCAGCAGTAACTGAAAAAAGGCAGTATGTCCCCTTGTGTGTGTCCACTGTGCCTCTTGATCCAGGGATGAAGCATGACCATTTCATTACAGAAAGCCATTCCTGGCTTTCATATTTATTGTAATGTATGCCTAAGATAAGTTGAAAAATGTACCAGGTCAAAAAAAAATGATAAAAGACTTAAAAGAATAAAAGACTGAGAAAGACTGACGTTTGTATATCGCTAGCATAATAAGGAGTTGTATCTCGACTCAACCTGGTTGACACACCTGGAACATCTTTTCAGATATACTGTATATGCAAAGAAAGAGCTGATTAAAGTTTGTTGACCTGCCCTTCTAGTCTTTAGTAGCTTAGCTGTAATACATAATTAAATGGGACTGAACAAGACAGCACTGCAGCTCTGGTTCGTGAGTTTCCACAGATCCTCTCGGTTGAGCATGTTTCTTTCTTCTTCTTTTTTAACTAAACGATAAGACTGATGTTTTTTAGGTGAATGATGTAGAAAACTTAATTCATGACACAGAACTTTAATGTAAACTTTTTTGAATGCGCATTTTTTATTTGACAGTTAAGTCACAAGAAATTTTACATTCAAGACTCTCAAGGTGCCTCTGAACTCTTCTCACTAGGTCCACCCTGGGTTTCCCCTTTAGCTTTGAATTTCATATTGATATAAACACACACACACACACACACACACACACACACACACACACACACACACACACACCAGTCACATGAAAGCATGAATGAGATGAAGGTGTCACAAGCAAAAAGGGAATGTGAAAAATAGAGAACAATCATAAAAAGGATGCTTGCGGCAGTCCACTAATTACCCTCCCAAACACAGCGTCCTGATTGATGTGTACAGGAAGAGTCACTTGTATAGAGCGCACACATGCATACGCACAGTGCGTGCACAGACACTCACAAAGACACACATGTCCAAAGACCCACACACATATGCAGGCACATCTGTGGTCTTGTGTTCTCTCTTTCACTTAATTCGCTGCTGTGTCTGTCCTGATGCAAATGAAACAGTACCTGTGCTGTATCCGTAACTGTTACTGCTTTTGTAGGTGTTCTCTATCAAACAGCTTATCACTCACCCTCAAACCTAATCAAGCAACATCAAAAAACAAATCAAGTTTGTGCCCTTAAGCTCACTAAGAGGGAAACATGTATATTTTAATTGTTTTTAATTAGAGCTAGCACAGATGCTTTTATGTTTGAGACAGTTTGTAATAACACCACTATGCCCTGCCGGAAAAAAGCCTGGCCCCAAAACAGCTGTTATGCTCTTTTCTATACTGTGACATTTTCATCAAGCTGCCGTGTGGCATTTCTGCACTTTCGACTACACTGGGAATAGAGAATTGGTCTGTGACGGGCCTATACGTCCTCGCCAAGATGCACTCTTTCAAGTGTGCGACTCCTGAGCTTTACAGTAAGAACAATAGAATTGGGCTGTTTCCACAAATCGGAGAGGAGCAAGCATTTCACCTAAAAGTGCGATCTAGCACCCTCACGTGCCTATAAATGTATCATGGTTTTAAATATTTCACTACTCTATGAATAAATTGTTAGTGGTTAGAGCATGACAGCTGTACAGCAGTTCAAACCCTTGTTAGAACAAGTAATCTCACTCAAGTGTGAGCCGGGCGCTACTCTGTTGATGACTTTGTGCTGTGGTGAAGGGCAAATGGAGAGAGCTTCCCCTGTGGGATCAATAAAGTATCACATTATTGTAAATAGTGATTCATAAGTCTATCCGTGTGAGAGACTGAACTTGGCTTGTTTTGTCAAAGCCAGTGGCGGTGCTCTGGGTGTTATTAGCTTGTGGTGCTGCTGATGCTGCTGTCGGTGTCGTGCTGTCCCGACACTGTTGTAGCCCAGGGCACATCAATTTTGTGCACAGACTTAACACAAACTCACTTAACTGCTATTACATAATGTAGACCATTTGCACACATAAACATGCACACAGTAGCATTTATGCTCTCATTTATTACACATATACTGTAACGCTCATTCACTCACTTGAACTTTCTCTGTGTCGACGATCACGGCCATACGCCGTAAGCGTGGCACATTCAAACATACACACACTGCTTTCATACACATACACACACACACGCACGGCAAAACGTGGCCATTCTCCTGTGAAAGTGGTTTGGGTTTGGGGGCACAAACAGCTTAGCCATGCTGTGGAAATGACTTGCTAACAGATGCCAGGCTCTGACTGAGCCACAACATCCTGGAGGCAACACTTAGAATAGAATGAATCCCTCTTTTTTCCCCTCTCTCTTTCTCTTCCTCGCCTCTTTTTCATGTTATTCTTCGCTTTTGATGCTTTGTCACTTTATCCCCCCACCACTTTACACCCTGTGCAGTGCGTTTTCTGTACTGTTGAGGCTCACACAGCTCCGGGAGGGGACAGGTGAGACGAGATCAAAAAATGACCACTGCTGTTGAATCATGAGCAGGGGTCTCTCGTCCAGCTGGAGCCCTGGTAATCCTTTTTTTGTTATATTTTGAACAGGTAGCGCACCCAGCTTACTACAGAAAGGTTAAATTGTGTTTTCTTTCTCTCTGCTTTTCTCCTTCTCTCCTTCTCTCTCTGTCTGTTTGCCCAGGATGGTAGAGTACTCACTGGACCTGCAGAATATTAACCTGTCGGCCATTCGGACGGTTCGGGTCCTCCGGCCTCTCAAAGCCATCAACAGAGTGCCAAGTGAGAACACTTAAAATTTTCATGTGTGTGTCTGTTAGTGCAAATCACATTTGTAAATATGCTCTCATGTGACTACGTAGCCTATTTTCTGTCTGTTTGTGCCTATGTGCTTCTGTCAGATCACATAATGCATCTACATGAAAATTCATGTAGATGTATTACATTGCTGGCTTTTTTGTGCATCCGCATGCCACCTGTTCCCCACGGGGATCATTAAACATTCATCTTATGCTTAATCACACAGCCCATTCAGGCCCTGAGTCACAGCTTTATCAGATTTACAAACCATCCATTAATGCTGCTTCACTGATCAGTCCGTGACCATAACCCCATCCCTTTCATCTAAAACTCAGTTCTTGGCCAAACTTTTTAACTTTTATCGATTTCTTTTGTCCGGCTTCCCGATCAGGCAGCTTTTAATCATTGTAAGCACCAATTAGCCTGCCAGAGCTAGGTTCAGTCTGGTCTTGTTTCTTGGTTTTAGCACTTAGTGGTTAGCCAAGCATTAGCAGCTAATGCTAATGAAGTTTCAGATATGTAGTTAGAAACCCTTTTTTGTTTTGTTAATGAATTTGGTCAAAAGTACGTGCTTTGTGATTGTGAAAAAGGTGAACCTTTTTATCTTTGTCTTAGATGTACTTCAAGTGACAAATAACACATTCTTTGTCCTTTTCAAATTAAAGTGGATAAACAAGACAGTAGGATTCTGTCCTTATCAAATGACCCACAGTTCCTCCCTCCTGCAGAAAATCTTGGATAAACAAAGCATGTAAACGTAGAAACTTTCCCTGAGTATCTTAAACTCGCTGCGAGAGACTGTCTCTTCCACTTTTAAATAACCATGAAATGAGTCTGCAGCAGATGGAGCTGATTTCATAAAAGCCCTGTTGCCTGATTCACTTTGGACCTTGGGGACAGATACCATAGGAGAAAGAAACTTACTAGTGACTTTGTACAGTAAATTTCAAGTTTTTTAAAGATATAAGGGTATCATACTTTGGATTGTCGATAGATATCTTTGTGTCTGCATGTGAGATACATGATCTGTTGATCAGGTGACTGCAGGTGTGTACTATTATATACAGCACTTTTCTGTCCACAAGCTTAGCTTCATTTGCGTTATCTCTACAAGCCAACATGTAAAACGTTTCTATATCATCATTTCACCTTATTATGCTACCTTGTTTAGCTCATATATCCCCTCGTTTGTTTCCCTGCTTTCAATACCTCCCTCTAAAACCCCTCTCTGTTTTTTTATACAGATTACTGAGAACAGAAACTTCCACTGAAATATAAAATGATAGCTTTTCCTCTACCTTGAGCAACTTCTGCTCACCACCTGAGTGTCCAATCATGGAAGATTCTTCATATTAAGTGTAATTACCTGAAAAAAGTATCCTGCCTCAATTGCTTTCAATTTTCCACACATTTTGGACAAGGACAAGTTACGTTTCAGGTGAAGACATCATCAAGGAATCCACTCAGCCCAATATTTCAGTCAGTCACAGCAGCAGCACTCAGAAAATATGGATGTTAACTGCATTACTCTTCAAGTAGTGTGATTAGAAGATATTGTGTGCAGCAGAGTGTGTATGTGTTTCAGGGACAAGTGCACAGATTGTAAACAAATCTGCTTCTCTGGAGGTGATTATGCATCACAGTGCAAGTCTCCAGATACATGGGTTTCTTATATATGCATTTCATATGCATGCATATACATATATATATATATGCAAGATGTGTGCGCATGAGCCTACTCTTAGTTCCTCTCTTTTATATTTGTTCATACTGTAGTTGTGTATGTGTGTGTGTGTGTAATTTGTGCATATTGCCGTTGTTTATGTTGTTATCAGTCAACTGCATGTAATTACTGTATGGTGGCCTGATTATGTCCCCTATCCGTGACCCCATTAGAGGTGAGGAAGCATGGGGAGAAAGCTATTAGTTCCTTGTTCTGTTGGATCACCACGATACACAGGGAGCACAAGCACATCCTGACCCCTCACACATCTCAATTTGTTACCCTCTGACAAAATGGCAGATAATACCCCTATGCTAGGTGTGTCTGCGTGTGTGTGTGTGTGTGTGTGTGTGTGTGTGTGTGTGTGTGTGTGTGTGTGTGTGTGTGTGCGCGTGCGCTGCTGTGTTAGACTTTTTGGTGAAATTGGTGTGAGACAGAGGAAATGCTAGACAGAATAGGGGTGGGAAAGATGAATAAACACTATAGAAACTTAAACGAGAAAAAGGAGAGAAGAAAAGACGAGAGGATTCTGCTGGTCTTTGGTGAATAGCACAGGCAGGTAGCTGTAAATGTGTTTCCACTGTGGCGCAAGGGGAGGCATCCATCTTTATCTGGGACCAGCAGGAGCTGGCAAACTGGTATAGTCACCAGGAGGGGAGAGAGATGGAGGCAGGTAGAGAAGGAGAGAGAGAAGGAAAAAGAAAGAGGCAAAGAAGAAAAAGACTGTGTGATACCATATTGTTTCTTTTCTCTGTAGTTTGTGTCATTTCTTTGTCTGTGAATATTTTCTTTCTTTCTTTCTTTCTTTCTTTCTTTCTTTTTTGGCACTCCCTATTTTTCTGCACACCCTCGGGCCCTGTCTCATCCTCGTTCTACCCCCGTCTCTCCCTCCATCCATCTCCCTCTCTTCACCCAATTAGGCCTAATGGAACGGTGGCCTAATGACAAGAACCCTGGGGAACAAACACATTTAGACTCGCCTCCAGTCGCCACCGGAGACGCATATTCACCAGCAAACGCGACTGCTTCCCATTTAATATCAGTTGACAAGACGGATTAGCCAGAGGGAGAAGTGTGCACACTCACCTCAAGAAAAAGTATTTCCTCTGCGGTCTTGAGATAATAGTTCCATAAACCCCCAAATTTAAATTTTATTGTTTTTTTGTTTTTTTTTTACTTTTTAATGCAAGAAAGATAAGATCCACACATTCATGTTCTAGTAATTTGTCATTCACAGTCTGTTTCTCTACAAAGATCTTTGCCTAATTCAGGACTGAACTTCAAATCTATAAAAAACATAATAAAAAAAGTTTGGCCAAAGGTGCCGACTGCACTCGGACCACAAACGACAAGTAAACTATTCACCATCAGCTAGTTCCACACATGCAGAGACACACTGCATGAATAAATGGACCTCTAAACATGAGCACAAACTCTCAAAAGGGACTGATAGCATCGATCACCACTTAGGACACAGGAGAATTTTCTTTAATGCGGTTTAATATTTTTGTTTTTTACTGCCAGCAAATATTGTCTACATGTGGGAACATCATCCTCATTGCTCTCTCCCGCTCACTCTCTTCCTCTCCTGTCTCTGTCAGCCTCTCTCTTGTCATTCAGTCTGTTGGCAGTTTAGATGCACTGTTGTGCTTATGACACATTAACCTACTGGTGAGTTGTCATTCACAGATCCCAGTGTGGCACTGCAAAACACAAATGCAAACACATCTGACAAGTAGAGTAGAGACACACACACACACACACACACACACACACACACACACACACACACACACACACACACACACACACACACACACACACACAGTGTCACACTTGTAGTAAAACACACACACCTCTCTCTCAGGTGTACGGGGTTGCTGTGATCTCATCAGTGGGTCTCACCTCTCTCTCTGGTTAGTCCAATCAGCTGTCATTATGTTCCGCTAATCACCATCTCAATATGTCATCACTGTGGGACAGACCCAGCCACAGGGGATGAGGTCATCATTATTCGACAGGGGACACGCTTGTGTTTCTGCAATTAGGTTTCATCTAATCATAAATGGGACCTCATGTAGCCCAATTATGCTTCTGTGTTCATGGGGTGGACGGTAGTTAGTATATGTGTGTCTGCGCATGTGATTGTTTTTATGCTATTCTACCTTTTTGAAAGCTCTTGATCTGTTTGGGAGCATTTCTTGTACATGACTAATTTAGTATTGCCTTAGGATGTGTGTGTCTTACATACAGCCTCCTCTGAAGAAGCTGTTAACTTCCACTGCTTAACCACTTTGCCTGTATGTACAGTATGTGTGTGCAATTCTGTGTGTGTGTTTTGTTTTTTTTCCACTTCTTTGTTTAGCTGTCAAAAGCAAAATTCAGTAGTAGTAGTAGTAGTAGTAGTTCAACTGTTGTGGATGTTACACATAGATGCCCAAAAATGGAGGGGAATACTTTTAAACAATTCTGTCTTCTGGAAATGATGTACAATTATTATTAAATTGCAACAACAAATACCTTCGAAAGGACAATTAATACCATTCAGATCACATTTTTTTTAAGCAATATAATGAGGAAACATTATGATAAACACATCTGCAAAGTTGCAAAACTTTCATATTAAACATATCTGCGAAATGTTCACTGACAACATATTCTATAGTTATGGTTCGGCCACTCAGAAGTTGGCTGAGTTGAGGGAACAATGTAGGTTTTGGTTAAATATTGAAAAACTGACTGAAACTACAGAATGTGCTTACTTTTTTTTATTATTTAACCAAAAACACAATATTTCCCTGACCTTAACCAATGTTAGAAGCCTAAACCTAAGGTTGCAATCCATGGTGTCGATGGCCTGCATTTTACAAGCTTACAATCCACCCTGATTACCTCCTTATGATTATTTAGCAGTAGAAAAAAAATGTGATGAACATAATCCATTCCCTTCAAAATTTATTTCACAAAGTAATTTATTAGTGCATAAGTGTCATTTCTAGGAGACAGGGATACTTTGAATGCATTAGTAGGGTGCTACTACATTCAGTAGTAGTATTCATAAGGTAAAATTTATGACCACGAGCAACCACTGATGAAGCAATCTATATGCAAATAGTAAATCCCCTTTTTTTTTTAATCAATAGTGTAAACCCATGATAATGTATTACTGATTGATTGACCTGCTGAAATACACAGGTATGCGAATTCTGGTGAACCTGCTACTAGACACTCTACCCATGCTGGGCAATGTGCTGCTGCTCTGCTTCTTCGTCTTCTTCATCTTCGGCATCATCGGCGTGCAGCTGTGGGCGGGGCTACTGAGGAACCGCTGCTATCCTGAGGAGAACTTCACCCTGTGAGTTATAAACACAGAAAAAATGAAGTTGATGGGCCACAAATTGAAAGTTGTGGCCCTGCCTTGATAATTTCTTCTCCATTTCATCATGTCATACTTGTGAGATACCCATATTATAGTACTAAATCTATCATCTGTTGTACCTGTTCATGAAATAAACCATTTCCATCTGTCCCTCAAGCTATAAAGCAGAAACAGAACAGGCTTCTTTTTTTTCCCAGTTTGAATGTGGTTAGATTCCAGCTGCATGCCTCCATATTCATGACCCCACATGACAGCATCACCTACTGTGTCAGTGTGTGTGAGTGACATTCACCAGTGTACAGGGTTTGATTTCATGACATTCTCCCAGTTTCTTCTTTTATGCTGGCATCAGCTTGCTAGAAAGACATAAGGCCCTGATATGTGTGTGTTGTAATATGTGTATAAGCCATATATACCACTCTATGCCTCTGTGCATTGGCTCTGGTTGTGCTGACACAGCGTATACTAATGACAGATCTAATAGCTAGATGTTAGGGGACACGTGTCCACCAGCTTGCACTGTCCGGTCTGCTTTGTCCTCCCCTTAAACTTGAGAAACATTTACCCTACCAACCTCTACATTAATCACTTTACGAAGTTACTTTTACCAGTGTTTTCTACATTTACTGTATCTTCACTGGCACAAAGGATGATATAGTGATTAGCAGGACAAACTCAACTTTGATTTACTGAGATGGGCTGAAACAAAAAGATGTTTTTTTTTTGTTTTTTTTTTTTGTTTTTTTTTTATACAAGTAATCAGTAGACAACTACAGTGTCTTTAAATAAACAATTTCCCACCAGTTGCACTCTTAACTCCCACATTTGCTGATCAGTGCAACAGCAGTTTTTAGCAGCGATTTCACATTGAATTGAGTGTTGCTTGTTATTTAAGCAAAGTATTGTTTTGCGTATTATTTTGAAGCATTGTGCTAACATATTGTGCAGGTAAGCAAAGGTGCTTGAGTAGTTAATTAGAAAGGTCCTAGTGAGTTAGTGCTTGAGGACTATTATGCTAAGTAAAGGGCTAACATTAGCTCTCTGAGAGGTTACAATGGAGTGGGCTAAGTGTCGCAGTCAAGTGCAGCATTCACTTTGGCATTTTACACCCTCTCTCTTTTGATCTCTACCTTTTTCTTTCCATGCCTTAATCCACCTTATTCTTGCCTTCATGTATTATTCTTTTATTTTTAACCAAGTCTCCAATTAGCCCGCCTACTGCCCCTCTCAGTATTTTAACCCCATGTGGCCCCCTTCCGTTTCTTTTAATCCTTATTTATTTCTACAAGTCAAGTTGAAAATATTACATGAAGGGCTTGGGCAATTTGTTGTGGAGACACATTCACAACTCTATGTTGCACCATTGTAAAACATATCCTGCACTATTGCCCCCAGAGAGCAGGCCAACAGCACTTCAAAGCACATTTTTATTATAAAGGAGAATTTATCCCATGCGCTTTCAAAGCAACATCATGTAGGTTGGTCTATTTTGATATGTTGTGTGTTCTCTTTTTTGCCATGCTATTTCAAACCAATCTTCCCTTCTCAACTGTCCCAGAATCTCGCTTGGTAACATTGCCGGGAACTGTCTCTTTTCTCTGCTGCTCTGTAGCCTTGATCCTTCCCTCCATCTTGCTCTCTGTTGGCAGGTGTTTTCTCAGTGTGATGCCAGGTTTTGCTGTGCCATGCTGTGCAATGCCAAGTCATCAGCAGGGGGGGCAACAGCCTTCATTCATGCTCCACTACTCTGACAGGGGCCATTTTTCTCCTCGTCTTTTACTTTCTTTTACTCTTTCTGTTTCTTAAGTTTTTATCCCTGTCCACTTTAGCGTTTTTAGTAAGCACCAGTTTGAAAGCCACTAACAGCCTCTCTTGATAATCTTCATGTCCATCTCTATTGTCAGTCCTTTCTGTCCTCCATTGGGTTTAATAAACTCTGCTGTACTGTAATTCAGAGTAAGCCCAGTGCATACCTGCAAACTTTGTTGTGCCACCGAATCAATGCATGGTTTCTCTCAGCCACTCTTGATGGAAGGTGGTATAGCCTGATATGGCCACTGTAACTACTGATCCTGGAATTAGTGCGCATGTGTGTGTGTTGTGTGAGCGCTTTGTGATCAAGGTAAAAGGAGAAATTCTACTGCTATATATGTCAGCACTATCTATCCCGATATTGACTGGAGGAGACAGGGTAGTATCAAGAGAATCAGAGAGGAGAGGAAAGGGGGAGATGAGTGAGGAGTAGGGTCAATCTTAAAGAAAAAAGAAAGGAGAAGAAGAATTATAGTAGGGGCAAAGAGAAAGTAGACAGGAAAGGAGAGCAAAGGAGTGGGAGAAAGGAAGAGAGAATCAAAGAGCACATAAACTATAAAAGGAGATAAACACAACAGCATAAAGAGGGAGCAAAAGAATTTGTGCTGTGTTCATTTGATAGAGAGGGTCTATTTTTGTTTACCCCAAGCCCAGACCTTGGTATTGGCATCCACACCCTGCCCTCATTTAATCCATAGGCATGTACGATCTCTCACACACACACACAGATTTTCCAAGACCATTCTGTTTTTTCCCCCTAAATTTTATATTTGTTTCATGGCGTTTGGAAATGATGAGGTGCTTCAGATGGTGGCAATCAGTGAGATTCACATTTTATAGGTCTGTGTCATTAAGGTTGGCACAAATCAGTCAAAGACACCACACACTCACTCACTCACTCGCTCACTTATAGGGAGTGAATGAGTTAATTGAAGGTGTGTAGTGGGTGTACATGCATAAGAGTGTAATCTGTTTTTCTGATGATTTCACGCTAGGGCAGACACACATGCGCACAGCCTCACATACACTTTCCACATGACTTAGTTTACATGATTAAACTATTTGTTGTCTGGTGCTAAACACACTTATCTCCAATGATGTGCTTGTCAGTTGGTTAGTTAGCTTAGTAAATACCATTTTCATTTTGGTTTGTCAAATTATAATTGCTGCCTCTGTATCAGGACATTTCACAAAGATCATGATGAGAGAGCAGCTTGATTTTTCTCAGACTAACAACGTGCATTCAATGCGTTGTTTCCATTTGTAGATATATGGACTTGTTCATGTCAGCTTCCCTCCAGTGACCTCTTGGCGCTCATTAAAGCCCTATACTTCTGAACATATTGCATCTCAGGAAATGATATGGTATGTTATGATTAACTTCACCTGTTACAGTCCCAGTCAAATTAGGTCCATGCTGTCAGCAGGGTAATCAGGGCAGCAGCGTGGAGCTGCCCCTTTTTCAAATGGCAGAACACACCTGTTATTTCTGCTTTGTCAAGACTAGGCCAATTATTTACTTACAAGGCCTTGTAGGAGTAAGCTTATTGCTGCCAAATAAACAAAGCTAACCCTGATTCCCTTATTGGATACCTAGATCACGGTCAGTGCTGCCAACTTGTAGCAAATTGTTGTCTTTATTTATTTTTATTTTTTAGGGAAACAGTGGAGTATCGAGAAAAACATTGGTAGAATTTGCGAGAACAGCTGTAAAAGAAAGCAGTTCTCTATGTCGTGTTTTAGTAGTTCTCAGACATTGAAAGCAAAGATAAATATAAATGGAGCAAAATAAGTCCCATAATGCACTCAGGGCTGGTTGGAACACTCTCACCAGGGCTCCTTTGGGTTTGGTTTAACTCTTCTGACCCCAAGACAGGAGCAAACAAAATGAAAACTTGAGCACTAGGTTTCACTGAGCCTCCTCTTTGGCAAAGCCAAGTGCAAATAAGCAGTATAAAATTTATTCTAATTCTCAAGTTCACTGACTCTCACTAACAAAGTTTTACAGAGTAGTTAGTGAACTCACAAACAAATTTAAGAGTGTCAGTTTGATACCTGCTTTTCTTCTCCAAGCGGATAAATACAGGACTATATGTAACAGAATGTGACGTCTTGGGTGCTGCTTGACTTCTCCTCAGGACACTTCATTTTGTCATGTCCTGACCAACTCATGACCCCACCCCTGTTTACCACACCTGTCTGCACTAGCTGTAGGCAGTGTTCGCTAGTTCACTGCTAAGTCAGGCTTTTTTCTCGTGCACACACTTATTGTACATATCACTCACAGCTCTGTACTGATTCGTAGTAAGTTCAACAGCTTCTGGATCTCCTTTTTAGTAGTGTGTGTGTGTGTGTTTCATTTCTATTTTATTGGAAAAAAATGGTTAAAAGAGACAGGGACATGTAAAAAAATTATTAAAGAGGGTATATGTATATATGCTGTGTAATATAAGGATACACAGTACTTGGGTGTATGTGAGACTGAGAAGAGAAGAGAGTGTATATACTGCCTTTACATGCAAGATCATTTGCATTTCCTTATGCTCTTGCCTTCAATGATGCATTTATCCCGCAGGCTTGGTTGAGTACTTTCAGGGATTTACTTCAGTGCCTGCACTATATAACATCTCTCATTTCACATTCTCGTCTCTTGCTCCCTATTGACTCTCCCTCTTTCACTGAAATCCTCATGAAATTCCCCAATTGAAGTAATGAAACATGATGGAAATCTATTATGTACTTCATCATGTACACGGTTTCCATTCCATAACCAATTAATTAAGTTTCTTACCATGTCCTCACTCCAAGATCTTCAGGTATGACACTGCCAGCTCCGTACTATCAGCCGGAGGAAGACGATGAGCGCCCCTTCATCTGCTCCCTGGCGTCTGATAATGGCATCATGTCATGTACTGATGTGCCTGCGAGGCGCGAAGGAGGGCGCACATGCTGCCTGGACAAGGAGGACGCGCTCCACAGACAGGCTCTGGGCCTGAGTCCGGAGCCACTGGCTAATGGGAGTGGTGCTGGTGAAGCAATGGGTCTGTGCATCAACTGGAACCAGTATTACACCCGCTGCCACACAGGGAATAGTAACCCCCACAAAGGTGCCATCAACTTTGACAACATTGTCTACGCCTGGATTGTAATTTTTCAGGTATGATCCTTTTGAGTGTAAAGGGTTTCTATTCCTTTAATATGATAAATCTAAATAACTATTTATTTTAGGTGGATTTCAAGGTTTTTTATTAAAACTGCAGATATATTTGTATTTGTTAATTTGTTTTAAAGGCTGATGCTATTTTGAACTCTTCAAATCCAATCCTTATTCTTAAAGTAATTCATTTTATTTTAATAATGAACTCAGTTATCAAAATCTGTTTGTTTTTTTTACTCTTAAGTTTTTGTTATCTAATTTTTAGTTGTGTTATATTTACAAGGCTGAATGAATTCAGAACAGTGCATTGGATTTAAGCATCTTATAGAAACTGTGCTGCTCTAGTGGGTAAATATTTTGTAAAGTAAAGCTGTTGTTGTTAACTTGTAAATGTTAAATCACAGTCCAATCTCTCCTCCTAGGTGATCACGCTGGAAGGCTGGGTAGAGATCATGTATTATGTTATGGATGCCCATTCCTTCTACAACTTCATCTACTTCATCTTACTCATCATTGTAAGTAACATTTATGACTACATTTATTGAATTATTACTCCTCTTCATTCCTGCCAGCTGACACATCCAGTGTGCAATGTGTTTTGATGATTGAACAATGAATAACTAAAGAATGAAATGTAACTATAGTTACACACCCTGTAGATAAGATAAAAAATCCTTCATAACATTTCTAATATATGTGGACATCGGGGGTCTCCTGCTGTCAATAAATTGAATGAGGATATTTCCTGAGTAGTGAATTGAAGTGTTAATACACTTGTGAAAATCGATGGTAGCATAAAGGACTGTCCACAATCAATATCTGCAGGAGGGAGGGAAAGAGGTGGATGTTACGTAAATTTATCTTGGTAGTGAGGAAGGGAGAGGGGAGAGAAGAGGAGCAAAGACAGCTGAACAAGACCAGAAAATGTATTTCCAAAAGGAACAAGTACTGTATGCACACTGTGTGCAAGAGCAAGGTCAGCTTTTTGCATGCACTGCCAGATGGCGGCACAATGGATGTTGTTTGATTCCACATTCATGTGCCATTGGCTGTCTATAAAACGGCATTCAGTCACTCTGTCTAGCAGCAGACGTGCAACAACAGCGGTCCCAGATGTTGCACTTTCCCACCAGCAGGTGAACACAATAAAATACAGACATACAGCCTTTTGTAGCTTGAAAATGAAGTCAAGAAAACAGAGGAGATGATAGGAGGTGAGAGAGGAGAACTGCAAAATTATGGTAAAGAAAAACAAGTATGAGTAAATGAATGAATTCAAGGTGAGTAAAGAAGATAAAAATGAAGAAAACAAATACTAATCAGTCACAATCACACTCACTTCTGCACTTGACAATGTGCTATGCACTACACCATAATGAGAGGGGACATAACTGAAGAGTGCAAGACGTGCCTTAAAAAACATTTTTTTCTTCTACACACCTCCATACTCACAGCACTGGCTGTACATTTAATCCCATTTTTGGCAGATTAGACCTGAGGTTGGCTTTGTGTAGTGTTAGCACCTTTTGGAAGATAGTTGACATTGTGTCACATTACTGTGTAATCACTATTCCCCTGGTTTATGCTGCTCCACTGATTACAGTCTCATGCCATATATATTGTATTATTCTACTACCAATACAACTCAACAAGGTGGTTCTAAGGACTGACCGAACAAAACAAGCTAATTTGCTTTCAAGTTCAATACACAGAGCTCAGTGGCTTGCACAACACCTAACAACTAGACAAACACATTGCTCCCTTCGTGGTACATGATTGATTGGCAACTTGTGAGTGAGTGAGAGGTCCTAAGGGATGCCTCAGAAGTGCTGTTCACACTACAAGAAGTTTTCAGTCAGGCACTTCCATGGGCCCCGAAGGTGCTGTTCACACGGTCAGGGTCACCTTGACTCTCTCATTCTTTCCTTTTGTAGTCCTTTCTCTTTTTCTCTTTTACTTGTCTGAGTTTTTCT